CACATTGAAATACTATGCTACACCTGTTAGATTGATTCTGTAAATAAATAAATAAATCAGTGAGGACAGAGCTAGTCAACAGTTTTAAATGTAAAAATATTACAAAATTTTGTAATTGGATGCAATCCATTTTGTCTATTTTTTTAACCAAAAAGCTAAAAGATAAGTGTTGGCAAGGCTATAGTGGAAAAAGAACCACTGCCCACTGTTGGCTGTATTGTATATTGGTATAGCCATTTTTAAATATTTTGTTTATTATTTTTATTTTATATGTATGAGTGTATTGCCTGCATGTAAGTAAGTGCATCTTTGTCATGCAATACTTGTGGAGGTCAGAAGAGGGCATTAGATTCCCCTGGAACTGGAGTTATGGATGGTTGTTAGCGGCCATATGGGTGCTGGGAATCAAACCTGGTCCTCTGCAAGAGCAGCCAGTGCTCTTAACTACTGAGTCATCTCTCTAGGCCCTGATATAGCTATTTTAAAGAAAAGTATGGAGGTGCCCCTACAAGCTACAAATCGAATTTACATATGATCAGCCATCTCATTACAAGCATACCCAAAAGGAATTGAAATTAGTATGTGAAAGAAATATCTTCACTCTCATGCTTTTTAGAGCACTAGTTAAAATAGCCAACAATAAAAACAACTTGTGTCCATCAGTGGATGATTATATTTTTAAAATTATATTATTCAGCCTTTACAAAAACTAGGAGCTTTTGCTATTTGTAACACCATGAATGAACTTAGAGAACATTATATTATGTGAAATAAGTCAGATACAAAGAGACAAATGATTGCCCTTAGAAGTGGAATCTGAGAAAAGTCCAACTCATAGAAGCAGAAAGTAGAAAAGTAGTTATTGGAGGCCAGGAGTGAGGGTAGGGATGGAGAAAGGGGAAACTTGGGAACTGGTACAAGCTGCAGTTAGGAGGAACAAGTTGTATTGCACAGAAAGGTGATTATAGTTAATACTCTTTTGTGGCACTGGGGATTAAACCCAGGCCTCATATTAAGCACTGTACCATTGAGCTATCTTTCAA